CATATTTAGCTCTTTGCAGGTTCCTGGGTGCCAGTCCCCATTGAAAACATGATCCTTCGCTATGTAAAGTCTAAGGCAGATTGGTGGACCAATGTTGCACACTACAATCGTGAGCGTATCCGAAGGGGAACAGTTGATAAGACTGTTTGTCGGAAGAATCTAGGAAGATTAACTCATCTGTGGTTAAAGGCTGAGCAGGTAATAAATTTTCCATTAAACACAAAGTACAATATAGTACTATATAAGGAGATGTTTCATGCATGTGCCACTATTTTTTATTTTATCACAAGCTATAACTTATTAGTATTTCCTAAGTTTGCGCTAAAATGAATCCTTTGAGACATTATTTGGGAGGTACTCTTTTTCAAAGTCTGCTACATCTTATCTTGTCATGTCCAATCTTTCTTGTAGGAAAGACAACACAATTATTTGAAAGATGGTCCATACGTTACTTCTGAGGAAGCTGTTGCCATTTACACAACAACTGTACATTGGCTAGAATCAAGAAAATTCTCTCCTATACCTTTTCCTCTGCTGTCATACAAGCATGATACCAAACTACTCATCCTTGCCTTGGAAAGGTTGAAAGAATCTTACAGCGTGGCAGTGAGGTTGAATCGGTTACAAAGGGAAGAATTAGGTCTTATAAAACAGGCTTATGACAACCCTCATGAGGCTTTATCAAGGATAAAGCGGCATTTGCTCAAACAACGTGCCTTCAAAGAAGTAAGCTTAATTTAGTCCAGGAGTCCTTTTTTGAAGTTCCCACTCTCAGTTTGGTTTTCCATAGTTAATTTTCTGAATCTTTTCCAGGTTGGGATTGAGTTAATGTATTTGTACAGCTACCTGATTCCGGTATATGAAATAGAGCCTCTTGAGAAAATCACTGATGCATATCTTGATCAGTATCTATGGTATGAAGGTGACAAGAGACATCTTTTCCCCAATTGGATTAAACCGGCTAATTCAGAACCACCACCTCTTCTTGTATATAAATGGTGCCAAGGTATCAATAACTTACAGGGCATATGGGATACAAGTGATGGTCAGTGTGTTGTGATGCTCCAAACAAAATTCGAGAAGTTCTTTGAGAAGATTGATTTAACCATGTTAAATAGGTAATGCTTAGTCTTGTAGATGATGTAAACAATAATTATTTACTGTAACATGGTGATAGCAAACTTACATCATTGATGACAACATTGCAGACTCCAGGCTTTTGCGGTTGGTCCTTGATGACAACATTGCAGACTATGTAACCGCCAAGAACAATGTGGTGTTATCTTACAAGGATATGAGTCACACAAACTCATAACTCATCCGTGGTTTGCAATTTGCTTCATGTGTAGTTCAGTATTACGGGCTTGTGCTTGACCTCTTGCTTCTTAGGTTAACTCGATCCAGTGAAATTGCGGGCCACCTCTGATGCCAAATGAGTTTATTACTTATGCAGACACCAAAATAGAAACTAGGCACCCCATTAGGTTATACTCACGATATATTGACGGTCCACATTCTTTTCCGCTTCACCCATGAAGAGGCACGCGATCTCATTCAGCGATATCTGTCGGAACATCTGGATCCTAATAATGAAAATATGGTGTGATATAATAACAAGAAATGCTGGCCGAGAGATGCAAGAACGAGGCTCGTGAAGCATGATGGTAATTTTCATCTCACTAAACTTTTTATTTCGTGTTGCCAAGCTGATTTTTGCTCTGAGCTAGCTTTCCAAGAAAAAAAAAATTCTGGAAGACCAGCTTTAACTTATGTTTATAATCTTGCAGTCAACCTGGGTAGAAGTGTTTTCTGGGATATGAAAAATCGCTTGCCTCGAAGCATCACAACATTAGAGTGGGAGAACGGCTTTGTATCTGTTTACAGCAAAGACAATGCCAACTTGCTTTTCAGCATGTGCGTACAATTTTCTTGCATCTCAAATCTTTCATCATAGTTTATGACAAAGATTTTAAGTTTTTCTTTGTTTTATTAGACCAATCTGGTTTTAAGGCTTGGTCTATAGGCAACATATAAAGTTATGGGGTTGCTAATAACTAGCAAGGATTCAATCTACACGCTTTACACATTTGTTGGCAACTCATGTGACGCATCCTTAGTTAATTAACTTCGTTGGTTGGGTATCACTACTAATGCTCTACTCTTAAGACTTGTGCTTGGGTGCTTGTGGCTTCATTCCCAGAAGGGACAGTGACAAGGGATTACATATTAAGCTGTCGATGTTATCATGTCAGGAAGCAATAATGTAGGACCCTAATTCTGAATAAGTACAAATGATTACTCATCTGTCCATGTTCATATTTTCCGAATTTGATTTTTTATTCTTTTTCCCTTTATTAAGAGCTTTGAAACTTCACATTGATGCGCTTCAACTTCTGGATATTATAGAAAGCAAACTATCTTCTTATGTTAATCGCATTATCTCAAAGGTATATTATTTGATGAGAACCAAAAACTGAAATTCTTTTATTCTTCTCAATATATTGTTATGGTCCATCCTTTTTCCTTTTCTTTGCTATTCCCTGGGTATTTCCTCAGACATGCATGCCCTTTTTACTTATTAGGATCGTCGTCATCATCATCATCATCATCATCGTTATTAGTATACACAGACAAGTTATTATTATTATGCACAGAAATAATTCTTGCAGCTTTTTTGCCTCATTTTTCCTTGCGTGTTATTTTTCTTTTGCTTTTCTGCTTTGAGGTCATCGTTATCCATGCTTGTTTAGTTTCTTCCCTCGTTTATTTGTATTGCATGTGCACTAATATGCTTAGTACCATCTCTTACCATTTTATTACTTGAATCTCTTGCTATTCTAGGTGTGGTTTTGAGGTTCGCATACTGCCGAAGGTAAGGATGACTCAAGAGGCATTTAGCAATACAAAGGATGGTGTTTGGAATCTGCAGAATGAACAGACCAAAGAGAGAACTGCAATAGCCTTTCTACGTGTCGATGATGAGCACATGAAGGTGTTTGAGAATCGTGCAAGGCAGATTCTTATGTCATCAGGATCAACGTCATTTACTAAAATTGTCAACAAATGGAATGCAGCTCTTATTGGTATTTAATAGTTTTACATCTTAATTTGGTATTTGCTGATTTGAGTTATTATATATAACCTGACAATTGCATACGTACACAAACCATTCTGATTATTTCCCCTGTTTTACCTTCTGCCCAGGGCTTATGACATACTTTTGTGAAGCTACTGTTCATGCCCAAGAGCTGTTGCGTCTGCTTGTTAAGTGTGAAAACAAGATTCAGACTCGTATTAAGATTGGATTGAACTCAAAGATGCCTAGCAGGTAGTATATTTCATGGCAACTATGTTTCCATGAAAATGACAAAAATTACCATGATGGTTCTCATATATTTCCTTAGGGGGGGTTATTCATTGGGGTAATTTGGGGATAATGGGTAAAATTGTTCCAATGGGGTAATTTTACCCAATGGGATAATTTGAGTGGGATAAAATAGGGTAAAATGGGATAATGGGGCAATTTGAGTGGGACAATTTGTATGACATCTTTTTATAATATTATATTTATAGCTCAATTAAGTTCAAGTTTAACTTGATATAACATCAAATGATTATAAATAATAGTATTACATATTTATAACTCAATTGTATTACATATTTTAATTCTATGATCCCAGCCAAGAATTTCATACGAAACCAAATCACATTTATCAGATAATCTTTTTCAACAACACAATTTCCCAACTACCATTAAAATAAATAAAATTGTTCAAACATACAACCCCAAAATATATTCACAACCCCTCTCAAATTTTGCACCAATTAAAGCAACACTAGAAATGGGTCTAACTAATTCAACAAAAAAACCATATAAAACCTATAAGAAAAAGGAGCAATCATGGGTTACCTCAGCTCTGGCCTTGGCAGCACTTTCGACAACCTTGAGAAGCTCGGCCGCTGTAATCGGACCAGTGTAGTCAGCGACCACTTTCGAGTACTTTCGAGTCAGCGGCCACTTTAGAATGGAAATTTCTTCTCAAAGGAGAGAATTTTGGGGGAGGGATTGGAAAAGAAGAGGAGGGTTTTGTGGAGAACTTGTGCTTGATGGGGATGGAAGGTGGAGAGAGGAGAGACTGACTCATGATAGGGGAAAGAGATTTGATTGAATGAAGGGAGAGTATTTGGATCAATAGAGGAGATTGAGAAGAAGTGGTGCGACTTGAGGAAGCCGGAGACGAAGGAGGAGACGGCGAGCGGATGGAGAGGATGAGGTTCCAAGAGGAGGAGAGGAGGAGGGCGTTTGCTCGAGCTCGAGAACGGAAGTGGGGAATTTGTCCCCCTTTCTTGTTCCAGGAAGCAATATGGGGTAAAATTTTGGGGGTGGGGCTGAGGGGGGTTATATAGGTGGGGTAATTTTGGGGGAAGTGGGGAATTTGTCCCCAAATTATCCCCACAAACCAATAACACCAACCAAGTGAATCCAGCCCCAATTACCCCAATGAATAACACCAAAAAGTGGTGTTCCAACTTTTCTCCCATTATCCCCAAAATTAGCCCAATGAATAACCCCCCCTTAATGACACCTTGACAGGTTTCCTCCAGTTATTTTTTATACACCAAAGGAGATAGGAGGTCTTGGCATGTTGTCCATGGGTCACATATTGATTCCACAGAGTGATCTCTGGTATAGCCAGCAGACAGATGTTGGGGTGACACACTTTCGAAGTGGTATGAGCCATGAGGAGGATCACCTTATTCCAAATCTTTATCGTTACATTCAGGTGGATTATTTCAATTTCTCTTCACATATCTGTCTCGTGTTATTGTTTTCTGGTCTTTATCTTCATATTATAAAGTTTCTAATTTTTGTTTACAGCCATGGGAGAGTGAATTTATTGATTCACAGCGTGTTTGGGCTGAATGTGCCTTGAAGAGGCAGGAAGCCCAGTCACAAAATAGATGATTAACCCTTGAAGATCTTAAGGTCACAAAATAGATGATTAACCCTTGAAGATCTTGAGGTAAATCTTTTACTTGTTTTGTGATGTAGTTATGTTGTTGTTCTTGTTGGTGTCATATCAGTAGTAGAGGTTATACTGAAGAGTTTGGCTAAAACAATTTTTCCTTTTTGGAGAGACTATACTGGTATATATTTATTCCATATATTGTTTTAAGTATCTTGTTTATTTTTTGATGTATTTTTTTAATTAAGGCCTTGACTTTGACATGAACCAATATTTGAAGTCATATTCTAAGGTTGGCTAAACGGATTTTTTTTCTTTATCCTTTTTGAGAGAGCCTGGGACATATATTCGTCCCTCTGTATTCTTATTATATGCATATTTTTTTTTAATATTGCTTCTCTTTTCAAACTAATCTGTCTTTTGTATCTACTTGCACATTTAGTGTGATACACAACCTAAGGAGGGTTACACAACCTAACTAGGGTATACGGTCGTAAATGTAATACTCTTTTAACTTGTAGCACACGGCTTGTTTACGTATGTAATGAGGGACGTGTTGGATGCTTTGGTTCAGGCAATTTTTTCTTCCGTATTCATGTTAGTTGATCCTGACTTTATGAGCATATTGCATATTCTAAGACAGATATAACAGTCTTGCAAACTTTAACCTGTGCCATATATTTTCCACGTTCGTGTCTAAGAGCTAATTATGTTTATATTAATTGTCAGGATTCATGGGATAGGGAGATAACAAGAATTAACACTCTGTTCCAGAAAGATCGCCATACACTAGCTTATGACAAAGGCTGGAGAGTGCGCACATACTTTGTTGATGTTAAATAACGAAACAGGTAATATATGAGATGAGGGTGAGGTTGATTAGGGGCCGCTCACTTCTCCGAGTATCTAGTTTTGAGTTAAGTAGCTGAAGCCTGCACAAATATCAGGTCGTGAGAGGACGGAGACTGGTTCTCTCGTGGTTCCTCCGGCGATCAAGTCAATTGATGAACTTAAGTGAGATAATGAAGAACTGCTTGAGTTCTTAAGTATAGTGTAGTGGAATTCTCAGAGATTACTTGCCTTGATATTAGGAATAGTACCTCTTTTTATACTGATGGTGTAAGTATAGAACGATCACTTCAGCAGAACACTGTAGGCTGTCTAAAAATCACAATGGATAGCTGATCTCTATCAAGCTCCTACGATGGAAGTCACAATCAGACGGCTGTCTAATCACTGTATTCGCAATCCTACAATCGTTACAAGCACGGCCTCATTTCTGAAATGATTGATCTTGATGGTTGCGACAACAACATGATTAATATTATTGGTTGGTGAGTTGCTTGGTAGAGAGCTGTGGGCAAATATTCATCTAAAAACACTATGGATGTTGATTCCCGTCAAGTTCTTACAACGAAAGCTACAATCAAATAGCTTTCGCGCCGACAATCGAAAGTTAGTGAGTTGCTTGGTAGAGAGTTGTGGGCAAATATTCATCTTCAAAACACTATGGATGTTGATTCCCGTCAAGCTCCCACAACGAAAGCTACAATCAAATAGCTTTCGGGTCGACAATCGAAAGCGGCAAATCGAGGACTTTTCACATAGATCGAGAAGAGTTACAATTCAACGACACTTCCGACAACTGACGAAAACTCTATTCAGCAGTCTTCACATTCTACAGTGAAAGTTACAATCTGACGACTTTCACACCCCACAACAGCTAAAGCTAGGATTACTGAACAACGGTCCTCGCAACTGTAGGCTGTCTAAAAATCACAATAGATAGCTGATCCTCATCAAACACTGATGATGGAAGTTACAATCTGACGACTTTCAGAAGGCTATAATTTGAAGACTTTCACGTAGATCGCTGAATGTTACAATCTGACGACCTTCACGGCAACCGATGAGAGCTCTAGTTTAACAGCCTTCACAATCAACATCGAGAGTTACAATCTGACGACTCTTGCATATCAAAGAGCTAAAGTAAAGATTACAAAATGACGATCTTTGCAAAACTTCGATAGAAAGAGACTATAAATCGACGGTCTCTTCAAATCAAGACGTGGAAGTCCTTCCCGCGTACCAGCATCAAGATGCGCCACATTCATGGCCACGAACACAGCCCAGACGCAACTCCAATCGCTGCCCAACGCAGCTCCAATCGATGCCCAACGCGGCTCTATACCGCTGCCAGACGCAGCTCAAACCGCTGCCAGGCGCAGCTCAAACCGCTGCCAGACACAACTCAAATCACTGCCAAACGCAGCTCAAATCGCCGCCAAACGCAGCTCAAATCACCGCCAGACGCAGCTTCCAAATCGCTGCAAACGCAGCTCAGACGTAGATTCCAACGCTGCAAACGCAGCTTCTAATTGCTGCGTCCGAGCTTCCAGACGATGCGTTCAAGCTTCCAGACACTGCGTTTGAACGCAGAATTTACTGCCAAACGCAGCTTTCATCCGCTGCAAACGCAGCTTCCAATCACTGCGTTCAAGCTTCCAGACACTGCCAGAATGCAGGATCTGCGTTTGACTCGTTCAAACACGAGCTGAACGGTTTTAAAACCGTTTCCCATGATCTGAGGGGATCATAACTCCACTCAGGAGTGATTTAAGGGGCGGTTACATCCCATTAGCCCCACTTAGGAGCGAATTAAGGAGGTGGTTACACCCCTTAATCCCCTATAAATAACTAAAAATCAATTCAGTTCGGGGGGGGTCTGTTGGAACTTCTTGGCTCGTCAACAGGATCCTTAGAGCATTTCTGGAGCTTGGGAGATCTGCAACAAGAGCTTCTTCATCCTTGGCTTGAGAACCGATTCTCGGTTCAAATCAACTCTTTTTCAAGAGTTTCCAACTCATTCAAAGTTATCAACTCGTCCAGAGTTTCAAACTTGCCACGCAAGTTCTCTACAACGTCAAATCGTGAGGAGAAGACCATGTTCCAGTGAAACAAGACATCGGATCGTCAACGGAGAGCAAACTCAACGCGAGCATTCGAGGGAGGCACTCCATCGACACCGTGAAGAACCCAGAATTAAACAAAGGGGAGAATCCAGATCATTCTCTTCTCTTTTGTAATCAGTAAATCAATTGTAATCGAGATTAAAGGAATACAAATCAATTTTCCTTCGTTTTTTTTACTGTAAAATTTTCCACAAACAAAAGATGGCGACTCCGCTGGGGAAGAGCTTCTCTAACGAAGAAGTGGTGGCGCAATCCGACGTTCATCTTATTGGAACAACCGTCGAAACTCTTATTGTTGAGTTTGATCAAGCCAAGTTCGAGGAGGCCCTCTCCTCCGGACCCCTTAGCCCCAAGGCTATGCGCAAGATCCACAAAGTCTCCAAAGAGACTAAAACTCCAACTGCTCCAATTGCAGCTGAACCGCCTAAGGAAGACTAAACGCAACCATGTGCTCTGCGTTTCTGCTTCAGAACGCAAGCCTCGCGTCCATGAGCCCAAACATAGGCTCTGTGTGAATAAGACTGAACGCAGGCCTCAGAACTGCGTTTCACCAGCAACACCTGGAGCTCAGGCATGCGTTCGGGTGACAAAACCCAATATAGAACCTGGTGTATACAGTGGAGCTTCGGGGCGCTGTCCCGAACCCCGCCGGGGGGTATTCCATCCCCCCCGGACCCCCTGGCCAGGGGCGCGCCGCCACATGGACCCCCGAATACTCTGCGTAGCGTAACTAGATTGAGGGGCGGATATAAAAAGTCCATGGATTCAAGGCATCGCAACCAGATCCATGTTCACCAAGAGCCAGTCCTGTCCAATCATGGACTGGGGGTTCCAATTCAAACCTCACGATCAGTGAGTAATTCTCCTCGAATCTTTACAATAGATTTGAGAGAGTTCATATCGAGAGAAAGACCGATGCAACAAATCATTCGTTCATTCCAATGTGAACGGCTGATTCCTACGGTCCTCTCGGGATGTCAATGTTGTTCATTTGCGGCCAAACAATTGGTGTTCGACCAATTAATGCATGTTGCCTTGCCCAACCAACAACGACGTTCTCACAGGAAGAAGTCTCCAGAGACCGAATATCCCGAGGTCACTATCAATGTGATCGGCAGAGGGAAAATCTCAGGTCCTAGTTCTAATGACTCTGAGACAAGGCGTTCACTGACCGTCAGAGAAATCACAGACGAGTTTGAAGGGGTTTATCAACATACTCGGACTCGAACGGGAGCCATTCCCTCTGTCAACTATCGAAGTTTAGCCAGAGGAACCAATTCCGACGATGAACACTCAGCCATTGCGGAGTCTCAATCATCAAGCTTTTTCATTGGGCATGAGAGCTTCACCCACATGGCAGAACATTCTGAAGATCTTTCAAAGAGGGTTGATGAGCAAGACGCCATGCTCAAATCACAGCAGAAGACCCTCAATGAACTCCTAGACCTGTTGACTCAACTCGTCGCAGACAAGGCTAAATCTCAGAAGACAGAGTTGCCACCTAGGCAAGAATCCTCCCGGAGAGAAAAAATGTCTTCATCCCGACCTCACACAAGCAAAGGGAAGGAAAAAGTGGTTGATGATCTTCCTCTGATGAAGGAAGAGAGACTGAGAACGAGCAGAATCTCCAATCTGCCAAAATGGAAGAATTAGAAGCCCGCCTCAATGTCATTGCTAACAGAAGCGAGCTCCAAGACGAGGGAGTTATCAGACCCTATCCTGTCGAATGGGATGCAGTCCCTTATCCTCCAAAATTCGAAGTCCCGACGCTACAAATTTTTGACGGCACGGGATCACCGAACCAACATATCTATCATTTCAAGTCACAGACTGGGAATGTGATATCAAACGACGCCATACTGGCTCGATTATTCATTGGCACCCTCAAGGGAGTTGCCTTTGAATGGTTCAGGAAACTTCCTGTGGGATGTATCCAAAAGTGGACAGATCTAGAGAGACTCTTCCTATCAAGATTCTTTGAAGATGATACAGAAGTCTCCATCCATACCCTTCTCGCTACTAAACAGAAGAAAAGGGAGTCCGTCAAAGCCTTCGTCAAGAGGTTCCGAACCATGGCTCTTCGGTGTTCGTCAGATATGACACAATCTACCTTAGTAGAGACCTGTCGACACAACTTACAGACCAACCTTCTAGCACAAATGAGGGTTGCAGAATGTCGTTCTTGGAGACAACTAATCTCTCAAGGCGAACAGGCTCAAAAGATTATTGTCAGGATCAAAGCTGAAGAACAAAGTAGGCAGGATCCACTTGAGCAATCGGACGAAGCCCAATCTTCTCCTGAGCAATCGGACCAAGCCCAATCTTCTCCTGAGTAATCGGACCAAGCCCAATCTTCTCAGTCAAAAGGGGAAGATACTACAACCACTGAAGCCAATCCTCTTCAGTAAGATGGCAGGTCCAACAATTATCAAGTTAACAAGATACCTCTGATAGTCCTTTCCCCCCAAATTCCCCCACCAATCCTCTTCAGTAGGATGGCGGGTCCACCAAAACTATCACGTTAACCGTCACCTCTGATAGTCCTTTTCCTCCAAATTCCTCCACCAATCCTCTTCAAGTAGGATGACGGGTCCACAAAACTATCACGTTAACAGTTACCTCTGATAGTCAAACTCATCAGATAATGGCCTATCAGGTGATGTGCCTCTATTCCGACTTCATGGATAGTGCCCCACTAGGTGATGTGCCTTGTCTACCTTTTTTTATTCCCCTGCTAAGTCTTAATCAAGACTGGGGGTTGGTTACTTGGAATCCACTGGATTAAGAGTAACGAATCTTTCACATCGTCGAGTTAACATTACACTTCTGATGATCATCATCCCACAGAGTATATGAATGCAGCTTGCATCACTCCTAAT